CCCCCCCGAAAAAAAGAAGAGGGATCTCTTCTGCGGAGTTCAAACAGCTCAGATTTCACAAAGAGTGACTCTTCTCTGCTGGGTTGTGCTAGCATTGCAGTTACCTCTTCTGCAAATTATTCTGTGTTAAAGGCATTTATTTTTATCATAGATACCGCTGATGAATGTTCTTCCACACAGGCAGACCTAACAATCGTGTAACTGCCTGGGAATCGCAACTGCTATTTAAAAAAAAAATCCTATTCTGGTGAATTTAGGGCGGAAGCTTTAAACATCGGCTCAGTGTATCCCCAGGGAAATCTAAAGAGAACACAGCATTTGTGGTTTGGGGGTTTTGTTTGTTTGTTTTTTGATTGCTGATTTCCTCAGTCTTACGATTTTTGAGGGTCTATTTTTTCCCCTTCTTTCATCAGCAGGGTGCAATGAAACATCAAGTCAAGGGATATACTCTCTGGTCCTCTAAGGAAAATACAAAACATGGAGGAAAAGATAGAGCACAAATTCTAAAAAATTATTGGGGAATTGTTCTCTGAAAGAACATGAGAATGTTTTGGTTCATATTTTCTAAATCTAAATTAAATCTTCTAGAATACATAGATTGAGACCTCAGTTCATTGAACCTTATTCCCTTTCTAAAACCTGACATGAAGTGTTCCCTCTCAAGTGTCTGTGGCCCTAAGGCTCGGGTAGCATGTTGGAGACATCCCAGAACAAAACAGGAGTTTATAGAGCCAAGACAGTTCCGAATCATGGCAGCCCTTGCTTGTCTCCAGCAAGCTGTCCCATACTAACTCAGGCCCAGTACCGGTACTCTTCTTGCGCACGTCATTCTTCCAAGCCTGCAGTGTATATTGAATTTCCTCACTGAGGTCTTGATCTTTTATTTTTCTATAGCTTTCTCTAACTCTTCCCTCCCTCTCACGGCATACGTAACTTTGCACTTTTCATCTAAATAAAAATCACAGCATGCTTTAGAGCTTATCAGACAGACACAAAAGAAGATCCTGACTGCAATTCCACACGAGTTAGTTAATCCAAGTTAGTCCACACACAATAGCTATACAGAAGTAAATCAGCCTTTTAATTAAATATAAGGAATAGATCAGATGCTGATTTGAAGGAAAGAGGCTTGAAGGACAGCATATGCTAACACCCAGAAAGAGACAACAGTAAGAGAAAGGAATGTCGTAACTGTAAATGGAAATTATTTCCTACAGCACCTTGGCTTGCAGTGTGTTGTATGCAGTATTTTTTTTTTCTTCAGCAAAAATCAGTGTCACTATCTGCTGAACAGGTATTTTTCCTAGCAAGTTATCAAATAAATAATAGCCAGCAGGATGAAGTTACAAGGATGTAACCTAGCTGGTTCTTCTAAGAGCGCTGATCAGAACTTGGGTGATCCAATTTCATTTTACATTGCTGGTATATGCTGCATCTGGCTTGTGGATGAGATAATTTCTTCAGTTTGCACCTCACCTTCACTTAGAATATTTCTCTTGAGAATTATTAGACTTGCTTTTTCTTCATTTGTTTAGATTAACTATCTGGGCCAGAGGCTGTGTTTTTCTATATTTTTAGTATTATGTATATTAGGATTTAATTTGTATTGTTAGAAAATAAAATTTGAAGCTTACGGGGTGATTACGTCTAACTGAAGAGATCACTGAACTACTGCCTTCCAAGCTTGTTAATTATGCAGTTCTCTACACAGTTTTCAATAGCAAAGCCTTGTAAAAAATAGTCTTTCTTTTTGTATGGTGCCAGCACTGTTCTACGTTGTGTTGGACACATGAACCTCACTTCGGGGTCCGCTTGCGCTGCGTGAGCAGAGTGGCAAAATCCAGTCAGTACAAAGACTTCCGTCTAGTAGTATCAGATAACTCACCCGACGGATATCACCACAGCCTTGGTTTCTCTGGCAGCGTAACGGCATATCTTTTCGTGAGAACCTGCCAAAAAATTTTTATTTCTCATTAGTTGCCCATTCCGTTCCCATGTGAGATGGTTAAGGAGAGTGGAGATGTGCTCTTTCTGTCCTGTCCTCGCCGATCCCCAGCCCTCCCAGACCACGTTAATTCCTCACATCTTTCTTTCTCGTCCCTGCCACCCGCTTCCCCAGCCGCCTTGCCCTCGACGCAATCCACAGCGGTCCGCCAAGCGGCGGAGCGTAAGGGGAAACCCGAGCCCGATTTCGGGCCTCCTCCCAGGTCTCAGGGCAGAATCATCCCCCCGTCCCGCTTTGAGGACCAAGGCAGCCACCGTCAGCGGCGCTCCCATGGGGAGAGCCCTGAGGCACCCTACCAAGGCTGCCGTACAGCCAGACGCCACCACGG